TTGTCATCATCATTATTGTGTTTACCCAAGAAATTGCCTGTAATTTATTTTTGACTTATAATGTGTTTTACTAATGTCTGTATAATGTTACACGTAATTACTTTCATCTACACTGTGCTAAGTCTGTAATTGGCCTTGCGGCTGTTGACTTGGCACATAAATAATAAAGAATTGAATTGAATTATTTTGTTTGTTTCCTTATATGCATTAATGTGTTTTTCCTCTTATGTTTACCTTTAATTAGTCTTTGACTTTATTTTGTGTTTGTCCAGTATGTAACTACTTTTATCTACGCTGTGTTGTGTCTATAATTGGCCTTGTGGCTGTTGGCTCAGCATGTAAGTAATAAAGAGAACTGAATTATTATTATTATTAAATGATCTGGTTCAATGCACAATCTTTACATATAAGGACACAACAAATCACTTACCTGGTCATGGAAGGCAACAGCCACAGATGTTGGGGGCATGGAAATGTTAACCTTATCTTTGGTACCACTGGAGATTTCATTATCCTCACTTGATTTTTCACCAGCAACTGCTAACATAGTCTTTGCAGCATCGTGTCTTTCTCGGTCACTGTTTAGAACATCAAGCTTACGACTCACAACCCCTGTCATAAAAAAAGAGTGTAATTTCAATAAATACAGTACACATAATATATGAAATGGAGCCATTCATATTAAATATATGCTTTGGATGAATATGTGAACATTCTACTAACACACCCACATACCTTCAATGTCCTCTAGACTAAGCAAATTTGAAAATGAGTAAAATCTTTATGCATTTTATTTGCACAATTCAGTGCTCTAATGTAGTACAAAAACAATCGAAACTCTAATTTAAGACTACATCTTCCACACTACGGAGTCAGAAATTTCTTGATGGCAATGATGATGAACAATTCTCATTTTTGGGAGGACAAGAGATATACTTGCAGCTACATTTTAGTTCAGGGCTAATGGTACTAGTACTAAAAAAATCCAAACCTCAGCCAGCTCATCCTCATCCATGCTATGTTACAACCATTAAAGATTAATAATCATTCTATCTTGTCTCATTTAATGTCACAGAACTTCTGCAGTTGATACAAAACCATAAACTAATTCAATAACCTAACTTAAACTTACACATCCTATGCTCAAAGAGCAAATGCAGAGCCCTGTAAAGCACACAGTTTGGGACTGTCACCCTAATGCACTATACACTAATGCCAACCTTAATCACATTACTCTGATGTCTTAAGACACCGTTAGTACATTTACTGTCACTCTTAGCTGAACCAATAGCTCAGCAAGGTCAAGTGTCCTACTGCATGCTGAATTCAAATTATTTAAGTAGAGGGTAACACTGGTTGCTAAGGGGATGGTGGTGGCTTCAGGTACTTTTGTTACCCTTCTTTTGCCATTCCATAAACACTACCACAATGGTTTGACAGATGGCAATATGATATGGGAAGCTACCTCCCAGCTCTTGGATGGAAACTGGATGTTCTTTCTTGCCATGGAAACAGTAGCTTCAGACATCATTAATTTATATTTTGTGCAAGTAACAGTTTATTTACCTGCATAGTATTGATTGTTTTGGCAGTTTGGTCCAACTTGAGTGACCCTATCTTCATGCAAAGAATCATTTTGATTGGTGCTCAGTGACTGAAGAGGCCTTCCAACATTTTCTTCATGATGATACATACTGTAAACAGAACACTATATAGTTATGAGAGAGAGAGACAGAGAGTTAACAGGTCACAGATGGATATAAAGCATAAAACGCATGATATTCGGATCTTGAAAAACATTTACTTTTTGATATATCCTCCATCAATACTGACAAACTTGTCCCATTGTTTTACCAGTGCGTCGAAACCCACAGCATACGAGTTTTTAGACTATTGTCTCGGCCACTTCCACACCTCTGTTTCAACCTCTTCATCATCATCGAAACATTTGCCACCACAGTGGTCTCTTAGCAGAAAAAAACAGATGGAAGTCACCAGGGGCCAAGTCTGGGCTGTAAGGTAGACGTTCAAGAAGTTCCCACTGTAGTTCTAGTATTGTCTCCTTGGTTGCTCTGGCTGTATGAGATTTGGCATTGTCATGATGAAGCACCCTCTGTCAGTTGGCCTGGAAGTTTTCTGCAAATTGCATCCTGAAGCTTCAACAGAACTTCACAGTATGACGCACATTTCACATTTTCACCACTTCTGAAAATGGGCTAACAGTACTCCCTGAGAATCCCAAAACACGGTAAGTACGACTTTCCCAAATGATGGTGTAACAAACCTTTTGGTTGAAGGTGAACTGGGATGTTAACCATTGGACTGAAGCATGCTTTCAATCGGGTTGTTACTGATACACCCAGGACTGGTCCCCAGTGACAATCCTGTTAAGCACATCTTCTCCTTCATCTGTATGCCATGAGAGATGTTCATTTGGTTCATTTTCTCATGATCCTTCAGTTCTCTGTGCATCCACCGTGCACACACTTTCCAAAACTTCCAAATGATCATGCATTATGCCGTATGCTAAACCATGGGAACATCCTATTACAGTTGCTACACTGTCTATTGTTATCCTCAGCTCGAATCAACTCTCCCATCCACTGTACAGTTGCTTCTGTTGCAATCTCAAGAGGGCAACCTGGTAGGGCACTATCTGCGACTTTCAAACGTCCTTGAGAGATATTCTTGACCCAGATGTGAACCGCTTTACACGAAAAACATTTCCTGCCATGAACAGGAAATACTTCATTATGAATATCCCTTACAATGAATGCTTTTACCCACAAAGAAATGCATAACACAATGCTACTCTTCGGTAGTACACCAAGCACAGTCGCCATTTTGATTACTGAAAATTATCCTCTGAACACGTGCACGCGCATCTGCTACCCAGATTTCTTTTATTGCGGGAAAAATATTATTGTAAATACAAAAAAGGTCTAGGCAATTCCCAACCGGCCTTCTGTATAACACTCTTATAAAAATCTTATTCTATTACAGCAGTCTTCCAGCAATTCTAAATACAGATCTTAACTTAAATCTGAGAGTATCCTGTTAATAAACTGTACAATTACTTCTTTTACTTTTCTTACATATCTATTTTATATAAATATAAGACTGTTGTTTATGAAGTAACAGACGCCTTGCAGAAATATTTTTCTTCCCTAGCTTTAAGAGCTCTCTAACAGACTTTGGGTATGCCTTTTTGCTGTTCTCAGACAGAATGTCCATCACTGTTGCCCTTTGGTCCTTCTACCACTACATAGATTGTCACAAAGCTGGATTGTGCTGCTACCTAGTGGTACCTATAGAAAACCTATTTTGTCCATTATAGCTTTTTTACTTACATTTGTCACCTATTTACTGACTTTCCCTCATATAACACATGGCACTATCAAAGTTCAGACCTACTGCTCTATAAGATGACTGAACAACTAAGCATATGAATATTTTAAACACCTTCACTACTTTCTGTAAAATGCGATATTTTTAGTTGTCAAGTGGCTTATTACCTATGGTAAAGGCATGAATCACTTTCAATGGGCTAACAGACAGAAAACTCTCTTAAGGCTTGTTTCTTTACAAGATAATGAACAGGTGACCAAGTAAGCAAGCAACTATTACCCAGTCCTTGTACTATGGCTGTAGCTAACAGCTTGGGTTGCTGCTGACTGCGCTACACTGTATGGTTTACTGACTATAACAGTGGGTGGATCCATTGGCTTTGAGTGCACCAGTTGTAATGGAGCTGCTTGGTGTAAGGAAATGTTGTGTCCACTTGAATCTGAAAACAAAACTAACTTCACATGTTGTACCTTTATACATGTCAATATTTATAACACTGTGCAAAGAAACCCATTGAAGTCATCATGCCAAAACCTCGCCAGAAATTCTGATGTGTTGAACACACCAACACACAAATTACCTCTCTGGAATGCCACACTACATGATCAAATAGACACTATAACAAACTTATCTCATACTACATGACCTTCTATTACATCAGACAGGATATAAATGCCTTTACTTCTACACATCACTTTCTCCTGCATCATACGAGTTTTAATGTTCTTTCACATTCAGATCTATTTCAAATGACTTCATGTAGAAAAAAATAAACAATTTGTATAAAATTATACGATGTTTCCTTTTAACACTGGATGCCCTACAGATGTCCATCTGAGACTGAAATATGATGGGTTACATAATTATTTACATATTAAAAATGGATATACTTTATATTCTTGTATTTATTATAGTGTGAAGGGGCAGATTCATATCTGAGACCTTGAGAACACAAGCAGAGGACTCCTAACTGATACTATACCGTAAAACTTGGTAAAACCCGTTGGATATAGTGATGGGGGGGGGGGAGAATGAGAAAGTAGCTACAGTGATTCTATGTGGTTTCAAAAGGAACCATGAAAATGAAATGCTTCAGATAGGAATGCTGTAATGAGGTTTCAC